CTATCACAAGCAAAATGTAACGCTAGTCTCGCATAGATGTAGCTAATCTCTGTCGTTCATTAATGAAAAATGGTAATTCGGCTTCTTCTTAACTTCTCATGTGCATCCCTACAATATTGTTCCATAGTTATCACAAACCAGATAGAATCTGCTATCTCAAGCAAAATGTAACGCTAGTCTCGCATGGATGTAGCTAATCTCTGTCGTTCGTTAGTTAAAAATGGTATTTCGGTAGTTTCCTGAACTGTCTTGTGCATTCTTATTATGATGTTCCAGGGTTATCGCAAACCAGATGGAATTTGCCATCACAAGCAAAATGTAACGCTAACCTCACATAATATACCTAATCTATGTCTGGTAATAAGGGAAAAATATATGTTAACAACGTCCTAGCCTGCCATGTTCAAACTTACAGTCCTGTTCCATGGTTATCACAAACCAGGTGAAATCACAAGCAAAAGAGAAAAGATTGTTGACCATACCTTGTAGCTACGTGGCCCCAAACGCTTTCAGTGTTGTTATTTGTGCAACGAAGTTCAGTATTGAGTCATTTGTCCAAACATCTTCATTCGTCCTTGGTGTGGACTATCACAAGCTAGGTCCATGTTGCTATCCCAAGCAACCGAGTCTAAGGTTACCACGTTGTCCCAAACGTCTTCGTTCGTCCTTGGTGTGGAGCTGACTATCCCAAGCCAGGTCCACCTTGCTATCCCAAGCAACCGAGTCCAATGCTTCAGCGTTATCCCAAACGTCTTTGTTCGTCCTAGGTATGAAGTTGGCTATCTCAAGCTAGGTCCAGGGTGATATCCCAAGCAGTAGTGTCAGAACGTTATCCCAAACGTCATGCTAGGCACAATTTCACAATTTGCAGCGCCGGTGAGGCGTCTATACTAATATTCATTTAACTTGCACATAAAATAGATCGGTTAGTTGACAGTTGCCTGATGGTGACGCCCCTTCAGAAAAAGAGGCGTGCACGTTACTTTCTAATTTTGGTCGGCGACGAAAGGAACCTTCAGGCGACCGTCGGACGGTATCTCGTTCGACATTGCACATCTACCTTCTCTCCTGTTTTCTAATACTAAATGCAGCGGATCCTTGACACTGCACTAAACGAAGCACGAAAATGAGGCGCGCCGATTAACGTTCTTGACGGTCGGGCACTATACTACAACTATTTAAAACTGTAATGACTCATACGCGTGATCAACACGTGATCGGAGCTCGATCCCGGCTTCCTTCCAGTACAGCCGTATAGCGTACGACATATGTCGTTTCTGTGGCTTTGCGGTGGTCAACAGCACAGACAGAAATGGAAATAATGGCTGATTGTTCTCCGCCGGTAGAACCAATGAAATCAAAGACGCGCCTCGACCGGCAGACTCATAGGCGTCGGCAACGCATTGGAACGTGTTTCGTTGAGCGATCGCATATTGTGTGTTTTTATAAGAATTGTTGTGTGATTGTTATTGTTGTGGTTTCTGTGGTTACTGTTTTGGTTATACTTAACCATGGAGAGTATACAAATGGCACGAGTGGAAGTACTGAAAGCCAGGGAACAAGTAGACGGCTTCGTAAAGCACTGAAGAGGGACGCGAAAGAAATCGTGCTCAACGTGTTCAATTATCTGAACAGATCTATGTCGCAGGGAGATGCACTCGCGCGTTGTGAAAGTATGACAGGCGTTCCAGAGTGGACCATTCGCAGGGTGGTACATGAAAAGAAGAAAACTGGAGCTACTACTGATCCAAAGTTTAATTTGAAGGGACAAAAGGCCGTTAAATTGGTTGGCGATAGCAAAATGGCGTTAAGGCGAACCGTACATTCATTCTTCTTTAGGAATGAGATACCAACCCTCAAGGCTGTACATGCAGCGATCAAGGAAAATGAAATTATACCCCAAATGAGCGTCGAGGTAATGAGGAAATCCCTGCACGAAATTAATTTTCGTTACGAAACGCGTAATCGGAAGTCAGTATTGATAGAGAGACCTGAAATAGTCGCCTGGCGTCGAAAATACCTACGCGAAATAATTTAATATAGGCGACAAAGCAGAAAAATCTATTATTTGGACGAGACATGGGTAAATGCAGGTCACACAGTTAAAAAAACCTGGATAGACAAAAACGTAGTGAGTAACCGACAAGCAAGCATTGAAGGTTTGTCAACAGGTCTTCGTGGACCGTCAGGGAAAGGTCAAAGATTGATCGTAACTCATATTGTTAGCGATAGTCGCTTTTTAGAAGAGTGTGACTTGATTTTCGTCTCTAAGAAAGGAGGTGATTACCATGACGAAATGAATGCCAGCTGCGTCGAGAGCTGGTTTCAAGGGGTGATTCAGCGAGTTGAGCCCAACTCTGTGATCGTCATGGATAATGCTTCCTACCATAGTCATCGAGCCGAACGTGTACCGACCATGGGATCTCGAAAAAGTGACATGCAGCAATGGTTGCGCGAAAAAGGAATCCCGTTTGACGATTCATGTGTGAAAGCGGAATTGTATGAAAAAATTAAACAGCACAAACCTGCGAACATTAGTTACGTGACTGATAAGATGGCCCGTCAATGTGGTGTCACTGTGCTGCGGTTACCGCCCTACCACTGTGAACTGAACCCAATAGAGCTCATCTGGGCTCAAGTGAAGGGTTATATTGCGCGCCATAACACAACCTTCAAATTACCAGACGTTAAGGTTTTACTTGAGACTTCCATACAGCTAGTATCGCCCGAAGCTTGGCAGAATGCTATCCGTCATGTTGTGAAGGAAGAAACAAAAATGTGGCAGCTTGACCACCACATCGACACCATCATAGAGCCAGTTATAGCCAATTTCAACGAGGAAAGCGATAGCGACAGTTTATTACTGTCAGATGTAAGTGGAAGTGACGATGAATAAAGGTAATTCCCAAATTTTTAGTTACAATATGTTTCAAACCACTCTTTATTAAGCATGTGACAAATCTAGTTCACCCATGTTAAACATTCATACCCCGCTTATGAACAGCCGACTACTGGTAGTTAAGTGATGTTCAAGTGAACAAGGAATGATGGTTTATGGCCGGCCAGAAGGGAGACAGGTAGGGGGAGAGGGCGCGGTACCGCTTTCCTTCTCTAAAGTTATTAACAGAATAATTCAATTCAGATTAAAAAGCGCATTGCCATCGTGTGCGAAGTTCCGAATTAATCAAACTTCTGCTAATTGGTGAAAATCATGCTCAATCGTTACATACATACATACATACAGGCCAAGCTAATAAAAGCGTGTTACTAAAGCCTCACATGAACAATTGGATTATGTACTGACATTTCGCTCCTGTCAGAGACCCCATTCACAGTACAAATTATTTTGTAGTCTCATTTATTTAATTGTCATCATATGAGATTTTCAGAGTTAGTAATAAGCAAAAAACCTAGCTATTATCTATATGTAGAACTAATGATAACAGCAACAACAACTATGACATTGAACTTATGAGTCGCGCAATATTTCTAACGAAATATCGCTATCTATATTCAACAAAAATGCATGTCATCCAAACTTGCACATTCGAACAGTTAGTTCAGTGAGCACAGACAGATTTCCATTCGAAATTGACTTAACGTATTTTTTTTCCTGGCTAGTAAGGGGAAGCGAAAATAAGTAAACTCAAAACATCTAGATATTCAAAAGCTATCGCGCCGTTTTAAAATTATTCATTTTGTTGAAAACACAAGTACAAGAAAATTTTTTGCTGTTTGGTGTTCTACTATTTGCACTTAGTCATTGTTACGTTTTATCCACAGTAATCTCTCCAATAGTCTAAGTAATTTTGGTCAGTAATCTGAGGTTTGTAGTTTTGTTTTAGGGTCCTATAACTTATAGCAATTCAGTTAGCGTTCAGGGGCAATGGCGGATTTGGAGGAGAGCGAGGATGGCGCGCTTCCCCCCATAGGTGCCGAAGTCTGCCATTTTTTTCCAAGAAAACGGTATTATATTGTTGTAATTGATCTAACAGTTACCTTGCTAGACCTGAATCGTGAGACGTGTATCCCCTTAGACGCTCTTCAGTTGTCTCAAGGGCATTTGCTATCTGAATTGCTACTTAAGTGCTTAAGCATGCAGCTGCCACCCTCCATGACTCTCCTGAAACGAACATGAAAGCTGCGACCATCGCCCCCTAGACAAGTTCCTGAATCCGCTCTTGTGGGAAGGTCACACATGTGGAGGACCTGACCAAGGCATGTGGAACCATTGTTCACAACACTAATGACCCAGTACGAAATTTATCCATTTAGAGCTTTGCATTTTTTTAATGTACAGAAAGTTCCGTAACAACATTTTTCCACTCCAAGAGTCTTGACAAGTTTTGATGCCGATCAAGGAGTCAAAACCCTCTCCCTGCAACCATGCATCAGCAATCCATGTGGTTAGCAGAGTACCCACTGGGCATGTAGAAAAAACTGACGTAATGTGGTAATGCATATCAGACAAGTAACTACCCCTGTATATCCGCGACCTTTTATCGAAATCTTTCTTCAACATTTTGCATAAATATGGTAGAATGTCCTCTCTCGATACACAAGTATCTGTAGATTTTTGACGTAGTCCTATGACTTTAGATGATCCCATAGAAAGGAATCCAATAGTATAGGATTGCGTGATATTGCGGTCCGATTCTGAACATCCAAATGTTAGAATACATGACCAGGACATTTCTCGATTGTTTCTGGGGCTGTCACCATCTTGTACAAACCACATATCAATCCCACAAGTATTCTTCAATTTAGTTAGAAAGTAGCCCACAGGCACTTGTGCTTTGAATAAAAATATCCCACGCTACATCAACTTAATCCAGCTCCATTTACGCACAACTGCTTCCTGAGCACTTAAGTAACTTAAGTAGTATTAATTTGTAAGAGAAAATCTGTTTTATACATAATTCGTGCACTTTAATTAGTTATCTGTATTGTTTTTATGGGTATACCTATTTTTCCTGAACTAACATATTCAATCATCTGCCTCGTAATCATATAATTGGACCTAAATTACCTAGAGCTGTGTCGCAATAATTTTCTAGTCACTCAACCATGGGTCTGGCGACTCCACTCTATCTCCTAGCAGCTGCAGCTCTACTAGTGTATTTGTACCTAAGAAGAGTCTACGGAACATGGAAAAGGCGAGGCCTCAACTACCTAGAACCAGAGTTCCTTTTCGGAAATACCAGGAGAGTGATGATGCGAGAAATTTCTCGTGGCGAGCAATTTGTGGAAGTGTACAACCAGATGAAATCAAGAGGTTGGAAGCATGGCGGGTACTTTGAGATGATCAAACCCATGTACTTGCCTGTCGACCTGGATTTGGTGAAAATGATTGTGCAGAAGGATTTCTGGAATTTTCCTAATCATGGTGCGTATGTGAATGAGAAGGATGATCCAACATCAGCAAATCTGTTCAACTTAGAGGATGAAAAATGGAAAAGCACTAGGGCAAAGCTTACACCAGCATTCAGCTCAGGTAGGGAAGACTTAGGTGAAAGTGCAAAAATCGAAGTATGAGAATATGGACTTCAAAATTCTGGATTTGTGCGTACTAAATAAATAGTATTATTACGGCAAAAAAATTTAGTAAATATCGCAGATCTGCTTTATAGACAGTCATTTAAATGTGATTTCGGATCACAATTGCTATTGAGGCCTAAAATTTATGACAATCTCAGTCTTTTTTCGTAGTTTCCTTAATCTTTTTATATTATTTTTTTTCAAAGGTAAACGCAGTAATGCAGAATCTTATTTTATTTTTATCTAACTTATTCCTATTGAATGTCACATAATTATCACAATATCTAATAACTCAATTTAATACTTATATGATAACATCTAATAATTACATTCAAGAAAAATAATTATACAAACAAACTAAAATCAGCACATTTTCTTATATGTTAACTTAAACGAAGAATGTTTCTCAAAAGTATTCTTTCGGAGCAAAAGTAATGATCTTTGTGATAAATACTTATTCACAGATAATACAAATATTACATAAAAAAACTAAATAGGTAGACATCATAATACCTTATAAAAGGGTAAAAAGGTGGTGCTATCATACGGACAATAAAAGCGCTATAGTTTGAAGACTACTGCTTTTTTGCTTTGATAAATTGATTTACTGCTTTTATGCTTAGGAGATGATTATTGAATATTTGACAAAGTGAAAAACTATTTTTGTTAAATAACGTGATCAATGTAATGTTTGTTATTGTAATGATAAAATAAATGTATTGGGCTCAAAATTTAAAAAAAGTCAGTAAATGAACTTTGCTGCGTCTCACTTGAGTACGGCACTGTAGTCTTTTCAAAATTGCTTAGCAATTATGCACCCCATCAAACATGGTTCAAATGCAGTCTGTACTAAACGGAAGCGTTAATAGACATGCTGCATGCTTTTGAAAATTTTGCTTACATATTTTTTACATCCCACGTCACTGGCGAAGAGGTATTGTGATCTGTTCAACTTAGAGATTGAGACGTGGCAGACCACTAGGGCAAAGCTTACGCCAATATTCAGTTCAGATAGGGAAGACTTTTCACATACTACACATGAAACTATAGTGTTTTAGATGAAAATTCCATAGTAATTATGTACCCCAGCTAACATGGTTTAAATGCAGTCTGCACCAAGGTTTGTTAATAGGGACACACGTGATTTCAATTAAAACTATCCTAACGACTTCAAAAATAGTATTCATTCCCAGGCTTTTGAGAGTTTTGCTTGGATCTCTTTAATTGGTTTGTGTGTCATATCGGCAAGGTAAACATGTGAATTTTGCTATTAAATGCTCTTTGAACGAACCATGTATATTGATCAATAAACTAGTAGTGAGGGCCGGAAAACGGGTGTTTTGGGATAAACAATTAGAACTTCTCGAAGAACTATCTGGTCAATATACTCCAATTTTGTTGTTGTGATTTAGAAGTATGAATCCTACGGATCTGAAGAATTTCAAGTAGTTGCGTGAAATTATCGTCGCTTTACCAACAAGTGCCAAAACCTGCATTTTGCCTCGTTTTTTGGCTATAACATTTTTGCTATTAGTCGTATCTTTTCAAGTGTGGTCTCGTTTTGTAGGTCTCTTGAATACCTAAGAATCTTGTATTAAAAGTGTTTTCGTTCCTGCCAACACTTTCGATTGAATCCCAAAAAAACACGTTTTCTCATCCTTCAAATAAAAAGTGTTCCCACAAAAATTGGTGTACTCATTTTATGCGTCCATGTTTTAAATACCCCCTTGAACAACTTGCATCAATAAAACCAGATTTTGCAATTATTTCGGTGAAATTTGCTAATATGATTAGACTAGATAATTGGGAAAGACGTGAACTTAGTCAAAATTATCTTAACGATCTCAAAAATGGTATTTCATTCTCAAGCTTTTGAAAATTTTGCTTTCATCTCTTTTACTTCCTACGCTACTGGCAAGAGAGTATTGTAATTGCGAAACATTTTGAAAACGAAATGTTTTTTGGATGCTACATGACATGTACGATTGCACTCGTACATCACGAAGAACCATGTCACTCATTTCTTAGACTGCGTATTTAAAAAAAATCAAGGGTAAAAGATTGGATGGTGGTAAATTGGCAAGATGAAACTTTTTGTATATTATGATGATGTACCAGCCTCAACAATTTTCCACGGAGTAGCAAATTTTTCTATGAGGATCCTGATCTTAAAAATCTTCGATATGACACAAAAAAACTACATATCTGTAAAGGATACGAATTCATCAAAAATGGAAGTGTTGCTTATTTCTGTTTTCACGCTATACCATCAAAATGAGTTTATTTTTAGATATTATAATAATTGTGTAAAGGTGTTTACCACTTAAGACCAGTTCTTTACAGTGCCAGATATGTACATACATGCATACATTATTTGCGCAATATACAATGACACTAGATGTGATATTCCACTTGAATGAATTCTATTCAAATATTTTGTCAAATTTAGAGAACAATGCGTGCAATTTCAGGCAATGTATTCCTGGTAATTAAACAATGATTGTACAGTAGTACAAAGATACCTTGTTTCACGAGTATCCATCACGGTAGAATGACAACTGGTTATCTAGTAATATTTCAAAATTCCCCATATCGGCAAAGGGCACATAGTACGGATGGATCCGTCAATGCCACGTGGATATAGCCATATTTTACGTATTTTGGTTTTCTATACGCTACAGATTCATTTTGTACCTGCTAGAAGCTCTTATATTTGGGAAAGTTCATTTGCATACAAAAAACAAAATACTACAAACAAATTCACCTGGTTGGTGCACGTCACTTTTGTGTTGACATGATTTTAGTATATATCCGGTCCTCTGCTAGTGTCGAAAATAAGAAATAACCTAAAATGTGAGACTCAAGGTCAAGTCCAATGTCATCGTTGGACATTCTTAAAGCTAATAAAGGCGCAACATTATCCAAAATACCTTCATTGAAAAATACGTTCCGTTTCGTTACCATTGTTATGCTCACTTCTGAGTTTTGGACTTTTCGTGACTCATAGCAACCTAGCTGGTTACTCCAATTTCCGACTTGCAGATGACACTTGTGTACCAGCTGTTTTTTCATATCAGATATTAGTTTCCATACTTTTTGAGCCCTTTCTGTCCGTATACTGAAAGAGGAAACGTGGCCAAAATGTTTCTTTCGAATTTCAGGAAAACTGAAAATGATGTTTCCAACCATTTGGAAATGCTCTGAGGCTCTGGACGATGTTCTTAGAGAAATAGAGAGGAGCAAGACGCCTATGGACACCAAAGATGTCCTTAGTAGATTCACAACAGACGTTATAGGGAACGTAGGATTTGGCATAGAATGCAACAGTCTTAAAGACCCTAACTCTCCATTCAGGGTGTACGGTAAAAGGATGTTTGAGCTCAGCTTCCTAAAGATGTTGAAACGTATGGCTATGGTGATGATACCAAGGTCTATCTTGAAACTGGTCCATTTTAGGAGCAGTGACCCAGAGACTCAGGGATTTTTTAGTGATATTGTGACAAAAACAGTGAATTATAGGTAAGGATCAGATTTAAAAGTCCTTATTGTGCTATAGTGACTTTAAATTTGGTTATCAGAAATGCTAAAGTGTCGTGAGGCCTATTTGGGCTTCTGAGGCCCCCGGTTGATCTCAGCAAGACACTGTTATCAGATTCGTGACATATGCAGCCAAACCGGTAAACAACCCAAGAGGCGTGTTATGGTCGATATTGAAGTTAAAAGTTATAATGTATTTTCATCAATATCAAATAAATTTTGTAGTTTACCCGTTTCCGTCTGCTGTTGTTACACACAAATGATGCATACTCATGACGATATGTCAATTCCGATTAGATAACAAAAAACGTTTTCAGAGAGGAGAATAAAGTATTCCGAAAAGACTTCATGCATGTTCTGCTTCAACTGAAGAACAGAGGAAAGATAACTGATGACGACTACGTACCATCAAAGGAAGATAGAGGTTCATTCATCTCTAATGCTGAGCTCACAACCCACTGTGTTACCTTCTTTGCAGCTGGTTTTGAGACATCTGCTACTGCAATGACTTTTGCTCTATATGAGTTGGCTAAGAATCAAGAAATCCAAGATAGGCTTAGAGAAGATATACTGAGTACGGTAAAGGAACATGGAGGAAATATGACATATGAAGCTATGACTCAAATGACATATTTGCACAAAGTTTTCCATGGTAAGTGAAAGGTTTCTTGGTTTGACAATAAGTGTCCTGAAAGGCATGCACAACCTTGACAGAAACGTATATATTTTTTCTATTGCCGCTTGTAAAAATTATTAGGTGTAACTTATGTTTTCTTTAGAAACACTGAGAAGGCATACAGCAGCATCTGCCTTGCCCAGAATATGCACCAAAAGGTACAAGATTCCAGGCACTGAAGTGGTACTAGAGCCAGGTGACAGAATCGTAATACCTGTTCAAGCAATACATATGGATCCTGATTATTATCCTGAACCTGATAAGTTTGATCCTGAGAGGTTCAGTGAAGAGGCCAAGAACAAAAGACATCCTATGGCTTACATACCATTCGGTGAAGGACCAAGACTTTGTATTGGTACGTACAGCTGTGAAATAATTTGATCGTTGATAGAACCTGTCATATTCGTCAAAATGAATGTATTTCATATAATAATAGACATTTACAAGCGCTTATGACATCTGCACAGAAATATATAGGAGTTGTTTTTCTAGGTATGCGTTTGGGACTCATAGAAGCCAAAGTTGGTCTTGCGGCAATAATAAGCAAGTTCAAGGTCACTTTGAACAAGAAGACAGAATCACCTATAGTTTACGCAGTGGACTCATTAGTTAACTCAGCTCGTGGTGGAATATGGTTGGACGTGCAAGAAATAAAATGATGTCAAGGATAAAAGTATTGCAGATAGTGGTATTTATAATTATAAAGGATCATTGTATACTAAATTATCAAACTTTCAGCTTGAGTTCAATGAGTTAGAAAAGTTATATTGTGGCACAAGTATCTTACAAGTTATTTTTTCTTGATCGGTTCCATTTAGACTTTGAAGTCTCCTTTTCTTCACCAAGCTAAATATATCAGTTTCATAACAAACAAATCAAGTATGATAATGTAGTGTATCACGAATAAATGGAAAATGATTTTCTTCGACCCATCTTACCTTCCACTCTAATGGCAGTGATGCTTGATTTTTCTTCCGCTAGGCGGTGCTTGTATGGTTCAAAGCTGTCAAACGTGGATGATAAAAAGACATACTTTATAGATATGATACCTATTCTTCACGTTTTGGTCCGCCGGTAGAACCAATGAAATCAAAGACGCGCCTCGACCGGCAGACTCATAGACGTCAGCAACGCATTGGAACGTGTTTCGTTGAGCGATCGCATATTGTGTATTTTTATAAGAATTGTTGTGTGATTGTTATTGTTGTGGTTTCTGTGGTTACTGTTTTGGCTATACTTAACCATGGAGAGTACAAATGGCACGAGTGGAAGTACTGAAAGCCAGGGAACAAGTAGACGGCTTCGTAAAGCACTGAAGAGGGACGCGAAAGAAATCGTGCTCAACGTGTTCAATTATCTGAACAGAACTATGTCGCAGGGAGATGCACTCGCGCGTTGTGAAAGTATGACAGGCGTTCCAGAGTGGACCATTCGCATGGTGGTGCATGAAGAGAAGAAAACTGGAGCTACTACTGATCCAAAGTTTAATTTGAAGGGACGAAACGCCGTTAAATTGGATGACGATAGCAAAACGGCGTTAAGGCGAACCGTACATTCATTCTTCTTTAGGAATGAGATACCAACCCTCAAGGCTGTACATGCAGCGATCAAGGAAAATGAAATTATACCCCAAATGAGCGTCGAGGTAATGAGGAAATCCCTGCACGAAATTAATTTTCGTTACGGAACGCGTAATCGGAAGTCAGTATTGATAGAGAGACCTGAAATAGTCGCCTGGCGTCGAAAATACCTACGCGAAATGATTGAATATAGGCGACAAAGCAGAAAAATCTATCATTTGGACGAGACATGGGTAAATGCAGGTCACACAGTTAAAAAACCTGGATAGACAAAAACGTAGTGAGTAACCGACAAGCAAGCATTGAAGGTTTGTCAACAGGTCTTCGTGGACCGTCAGGGAAAGGTCAAAGATTGATCGTAACTCATATTGGTAGCGATAGTGGCTTTTTAGAAGAGTGTGACTTGATTTTCGTCTCTAAGAAAGGAGGTGATTACCATGACGAAATGAATGCCAGCTGCTTCGAGAGCTGGTTTCAAGGGGTGCTTCAGCGAGTTGAGCCCAACTCTGTGATCGTCATGGATAATGCTTCCTACCATAGTCGTCGAGCCGAACGTGTACCGACTATGGGATCTCGAAAAAGTGACATGCAGCAATGGTTGCGCGAAAAAGGAATCCCGTTTGACGATTCATGTGTGAAAGCGGAATTGTATGAAAAAATTAAACAGCACAAACCTGCGAACATTAGTTACGTGACTGATGAGATGGCCCGTCAATGTGGTGTCACTGTGCTGCGGTTACCGCCCTACCACTGTGAACTGAACCCAATAGAGCTCATGTGGGCTCAAGTGAAGGGTTATATTGCGCGCCATAACACAACCTTCAAATTACCAGACGTTAAGGTTTTACTTGAGACTTCCATACAGCTAGTAACGCCCGAAGCTTGTCAGAATGCTATCCGTCATGTTGTGAAGGAAGAAACAAAAATGTGGCAGCTTGACCACCACATCGACACCATCATAGAGCCAGTTATAGTCAATTTCAACGAGGAAAGCGATAGCGACAGTTTATTACTGACACATGTAAGTGGAAGCGACGATTAATAAAGGTAATTCCCTAATTTTTGACTTACAATATGTTTCAAACCACTCTTTATTAAGCATGTGACAAATCTAGTTCACCCATGTTAAACATTCATACCCCGCCTATGAACAGCCGACTACTGGTAGTTAAGTGATGTTCACGTGAACATCGATGAGTCATTACAGTTTTAGATAGTTATAGTATAACAACAACAGAAAATTGACTTGCCTTGGACCCAAAGGTACAGACATAACTCCGCGCAGGACATAAAAGTGGGGCGTATATTTCACCATAAGTTGGCGGAATATTTGACAGATCGCATTTGTTTTGTTGAATCATGGGTTTTAACATCGTCGTATAACAATATCAATGGAGGTTACGTTACTGGTATGAAGAAGTGCCTGAATCCAGAAGCATTACACACCTGTTAGGTGTAATATTGTAATTATTCACATATAGCGCCTAAGCATTTGTCATTGAAGCAGAAATGTGACGATTCTTTTTTAACACGCTCATTTTAGTTTGGCCTGTATGTATGCAGTCTTTGAGCATAATTTTCACCGACTACCAAAAGCTTGATTAATTTGTAACTTCGCACACGTATCAAGGATCGATGACAGTGCAATAATTTGATAACAGTTTTCGCTTATCCTTATGGAAAAAATCTGTAAAAACCTGACATGTTAATAAAAAGCCGCGGATTTCAAATGCCGCTTTAGGAACAGTGAAACTACAAGCCTCTGTACTTCAGTGGCACAGCACTGGTCGTGTAATACGGGGTCGTAAGTTCAATCCTCACCGAAGGCAGATTGTGGTATACCTCTTCTTTATTTTTCTAATATGTTTTTATTAGTTTGACCTGTATGTATTGTATGTATGTACGAGGGATGTCTTTCAAATTTTGAACATAGAAACATAGTAGGGCCGCGCGGATCGATGGTCAGTACTGAATCTTAACCTCACTCTTTAGTAAACCTAAATTCGACGTTTCACAACAATATGTGCAGTGTTCTCACTACAGTGAATTTTTAAGTGTCATCAAGTTTCAATACAGGTTATGTATCCGAGTGTCAACGTTGGTGTTTGGTTGAGATTGTGGAGCTATGATCACAAAGGGTGTAAACGTTATGATAGTCATTATTTAAATGGGTGATAGAGGGGGTTAAAAGAAGCAAAAAGTTTCATATAACATGGGAGTCAAAACGGCATTTTTTTAGAGAACAGCGACTTTAAAGTGAAATAAAATCTGACAGTGCCGCAATGCCAGACGCAAATTACGACGGAACTCAGTGTAAATAAAGATGGAGTTTGTTATTTTTGGCTCTTAGGTATTATTTCATTATTTGGTAATGTACTCGTAAAATGTAAACAATTAAAAGAAACGAACTTACTACTAACTGGTGTGTGAAAGTTTATTGAACGTGTTAAAAAGATCCACTTATAAGTAGGGAGCACAATTTTGATACATACATTGCTTTTCTTTTTAAAAACCACACTGCACCTTCTTTGTATTTAAAGAAGGTGTTCAAAACGTCGTCCTCCGCTTTCCACACAAGCTTCATTACGACGAACCCAGTTTCTTCATACTCTAGGTCCTCGAAGTTGTCCATTTATTATTTCAGCCGCATAAATTTTTTTTTCGCGAAGTTGTGCTTCAGTTGTTATTGGACTAGCCCCATAAACCATGCCTTTAAGTTCGGATTGAGTTCAGGAGATCTTGCTGGCCATTTTCGAGGATCCGGAGCATTTCAACCGATCCAGCGATTTGGATAATGTTCTTTCAAATACTGAATGACGCCTCTAAAAATGTGTGGTGGTGCCTCGTCATGAAGAAACCACAAATTCTGTCTCCGTTGTAATGGTTTGTTGTCTAAGGTCTGTTCCAAAAGATCTGGTAGGTTATTGACTAGAAAGCTAAAGTATCCTTCTCCTGACAACTTTGGGGGTAACTCGAAAGGGCCAAATACCTGAACGCCAAGAATACCCGCCCAAATATTTATTTTAAAACGTTGCTGTACATGACCTTCACGAATGGTATGAGGATTTTCTTGAGCCCACGTGTGAGTATTATGGAAATTTAATATATCGTCTCGCGTAAAAGTCCACCGCTAGAATGTTTTTAAAAAATCTGGATTTTCAATGTTTTTGTGCAAAAACCACTGACAGAATGTTAGTCTGCGATGATAGTCTTCTAGTAACGAGGCCTGCACTCGTTGTACATGGTAGGGATAAAGCAAATTTTTCCGTAGGATTCTATGGACTATGGTATGCCATAGTCCTACGCGGCGGCCTAATTCCCGAGTGCTGATATCTGTATTGATTACCATGATATCTAAAATTTGTTCCTCCTGCTCTACAGTAACCTGTCTTTCACGAGTGCGAATATTAGTGTGCTGAACACTTCCTGTGTCTCGAAGTATTTGGTACACTTGCACAAATGTCCTTCTGTCTGGGTGTACCTGTTGGCGAAATTTATCACTATAAATTTGAGCTGCAAGATTTGAATTCTGTACGAGCTTCACCGTAAACTAACAACATGTCGGCGAACTCTTGATTAGAGAACATTGTAAATGAAAAATGAACACGACGACGTACGCGAACAAAAACAAAACAACACGCCCGATGCTCTGTTCGACAAAACGATAAAGTACTGACTACAAATTTTGACATAACTTAGAAAAACTTAATGGTATTTATTTGTTAATTACCCAATTTAAAAACGTTTTAGATTAGATTATAAAAATTAGTAAGATTGTGGCCGATATAAAGCACTTAAAGTTGTAAACTATAATGCCATTTAGACAAAAACCTATTGACTTTTGGACCATGGGTCATATGAACTTTTTGACTTGTTTTGACCCCCCACTATTACATGTTTCAATAATGACTACCATAACGTTTACACCCTGTATAAGCACGGTCCGACTTTATGTGGCACAAACTGGGAACATAGACTTGCTTGCAAATGATTTTAATGTAACGCGAGTTCCGCAATATGTTTTGTATTAAGATTAACCAATACACACTTGACCTAATCACATAATGAAATATATGGTCGCAGAAAGCGAAAACAACCTCTCTTATTACAACACTAATATCCAATTAGGGGTTCCAAGCTCACAACGAAACATTCCTGGAGTCCTTAAAACACACGTAACGTAAACAGTTCGAACGTTGCGTAGGCATTCGACGTACATTTATATTGTCAACTTTATCCCCTGTCTGTATTTCGTTCCATCTATAATTAATAATCCACCGTTGTACCTTAATCCAGCCCTTTGTAATAGATTTATTCTCGTTAGTGTGTACAAATGACTGAGCATTTATTTGGAGGTATTATGATCTACCCTTTCAGGAGGGTGCGCCTGTCCCTCTCCAGTATATTGAGCCGCTTTTTACTGCCAGTCGTTACGCGCAACGTTGAAAAAATTGCCTAGCTTAGGGGATGGCAGGACAGGTATGACGGATCCAGGGAAAAGATCTGAGAAACTAGAATAATAGGGCATTTTTTCAGATTTACAGGTTTAGGTCTTTAATATCGTCCTTCTCTGTTCAAGACAATTGTAAACACAACACGGTCAATGCGGGCCAGTGCTCCTCGAGCTTCGGTCGCACCCACGTTTACTGGATTTTTAAGCATTACATCTTTTACCACAACAAATGTAAAGCCTCTCTACGCTGACGGCACTGCGCCCGGGCCCTAGCCTGCTCTGGTTCTCGGCAGGCAGTAGAGGGCGAAGTAGGAAGTAGTACAGTGGGCGGAACGGTAGATGATCAAAATGAAACCCTAACTGGGGTCTTAGTACGCGGAAATCATATACGATGTTACCAGGTGTCGTATTTTGATAGTCCTATCCTGACTACAGACCTAGGCCAGTAAGCATAAAACAGCGTTATACATCTTTGGCCCTCCTAGTGGGGAATGTAAGGGTGGATAAAAGGGGCCCTGCCCCCGCTCCATGAGGTATAAAATGTTGAGCACCTTCTGGGAGAATTCGTCATTTTTTATCTGACTTTGTCGTGATGGACGTGAGGTGCTTGTTTCAATAACAATAATAATCTATATTTCAAATTGTACAATGACATTACAAATATTATTTAGCCACTACAAATTGAAATGTTGCGTCACTATCACCGTAACCATATTTATCGTAAAACAGTTGCAATCTGAAACTATTACAACTCCCATAGAACTCATCTATTGTATAAGGCTCTGACTGTACTAGAAATTGCTTAATAGTCTTTTTAAATTTATGTAAACCGTTTTTAATTTCATTTGGTAGAATGTTGAAAAACGTCAGACACATCTAAATAGGGCTTTTTTCTGTGGAGGATAGTCTATGCATTGGATAAAAAAAATATAAGACACGCAGACACATAGATGGTATACATAGTCACGATTTTTTCAATTTAGACACCCCGCGGCAAATTTCATTAAAATTTAGTTTAGCAGACGTACCTCTCTTTTTTGAACAACAAAATTTTTTTGAATAAACCTATTGCGCCCCCAAAAAATAATCCCATACTTTAGAACACTTTCAAAATTAGCATGGTACAATATTTTCATACTCGTATTATTTACATACCTTTATAGGTGTATTACCCTAAAACCATAGTAAATGGAATTGAGCCTCTTCAGCAGTTCGAATACATGTGTTATCCAATCTAAAATATCATCACTATACATGCCTAAGGATTTTACACTTTCACTCAACTGCAGTTGATGATGATCTATATCGATACATTGTGGCTTAACGACTTTACTCTGCTTAGTTCTAAATAATGCTGCATCAGTTTTGGATTTATCCGGCACTAGTTTGTTCTCAGAAAACCATGTATTCACACTTCTGAATAAGAGATTCCCATTAGCAGTTAGGTCCTCTACACTTGTCCCACCCAACACTAAATTTGAGTCATCATCATAGCAGATAATTGTATGCTTGTTCTCATCAACACTAGTAACAGAACACAGTAGCTTTAATAACAATATGTCTCTGTCAATGCAATCATCAGCTTTGGACAAGTCCAGGTAGAAACCAACCGCTAAGTTTCCCTCCTATAATTGCTTAAGTACTGTTTGAACAAATTGAAAGATTGCAGTATTAGTTGATCTCCCCTGTAGGTATCCATGCTGATGTGTATTAAATAAATTACAGTCATTCATAAATTCTAATAATCTCTTACTGATGCCTAACTCAAGTAATTTTGAAAAAAAACGTTAAAATATTCTCTGGATTACAGCTATTTTCAAATTCTCTGGGAGTGATCCCTGTCTAAAAGCATTATTAATAAGTAAGCACAAAACATGTTTTAAAACTGGAATGGAAAGTTTTACTATTGTTGTTGGAACTTCATCTACACCACAGCTGGATTTATTTTTTATCCTCCTCGACAGTTCAGACACTTTTGTCGTTTTCTTGTAAATTGCAGTCAAAAGGCAGCTGTGTCACATCTTTCAGTAAAAGCGGAATTCCTAATAACAAATATTCATTGTACTGCTGTGATATCAGATTTGGATCTCCTTTCATATGAATGTAATTATGATCTTTTTGACCTGTGATTTCATCACATATCGCCCACATAGATTTACTTTTATTGTCTGAATTTCTGATTTTCTGATCGTATCTTTCTGATTTGGCCTTCTGCAACAAATAGTCATATTGTTTTTTTGTTTTGTTCTTATACATTTCCTTATAATGACCATCTACTCTACATAGGGTCAACAGAATATTCACTCTATTTTTGCACTGTGAAATATCGTGAAATATCTTCATTACACATCTTAAGATCTTTTCTCCTTATTTTGG